TTCGTGGTTTAAACGTACATTGTATATTTGAACGTAACAAAACTTGTCAATGCATTGGTTCACTATTGTTGAAAGTTGTTTGTAATATTCTCCATGAATAACATAGGTCACATTGAAGTGACAGAATATTGTGCGGCCCTCGACAAATTTTGATTGGCCAATGAGGCCAAGGAGATGTAAAAGATTGGACGCTCGTGGTTTAAACTTACATTGTGGACTTGAACGTGATAAAATTTGTCGGTACGAACAATTTTCAAAGTCGAAATTTTCTATACAGCAAAAGACTCGCTTTGCAAAATTTACAACCACACACACGTTTGTTTTACCTAAAAATTACACACACTGATTGTACAAATGATTACACAAGTTGTACACATTGATTAGTACTTTGAATAGCAGTTGCTGAATAGTGAAATTTGTTCTAAAAAAAAAAAAAAAAATATGGAGGAACGATTCGCTCTTTTCTCATTAACCGCGACGATTTGCAAAACGAGAAGAAACACGACGAACCGGAAATGTGGCTGGCGCACGTTGGCGTGTGTGATTTAGAAAATGGTGGGAACTTACGTCGAAACATCACCCTCGATGGTCATGGTGAGTTCTCCAAACTTATTTCTCTGCTCGTACGAGTCCCAATGCTCCAAAAGAACACCCAACTATGAATCTCATTGTTATTACCGGTGCTGGATTCAACCAACGACGATATGCTGCTAGCAGATTTGTTTCACACGAGGTTGACGTATATGTATCAGCAGCGGAAACGGAAACAACTTGTCGACGACGGGCACGCGACCACTGCTAGAAATCGGAAATTGTTTGCGAGTGGCACTCGTGTTCGGAACCGAGGAGAAGAGGAGGTGTCGAACAGAGGATACGTTTCGTTGATCCTGCTTGGCGACCAACTGAAACAGGGCGCGAAAGATCGGGGCTGGGTTCGGTGGTGAACCGAAGAGAGCAGACAGCAACGACGAGAAGAGAAAGGATCCGAACGAAAACGGATGGGCAACCGAGAGAAGAAGAAGAAGAAGAAGAAGAGACGCAGAGAAACAGAGAGAGAGAGAGAGAGAAAGAGAAATAGAAGTCGCGGTGTATTAACAAACGGCGTGAAAAGAGATCCCAAAAATAATTTCGGCGTGAAGAAATAAATGCGGGTGAGGCGGCCGCCTCACCCGCGAGGGTGCCTAAAAGAAGGTTCGCCACCGGGTGTGTTGCCTTCTGGGAATGAAACCGGCATAGTATGCTCGAGTTATAAGAAGAGCGGTGTGGCGATCGCGTCGGCTAGTCGCTAAAGAACCGTTTTGCCGTCGCGAACAACCGGGGAATCAACCAACCAGCAGCTCGACGCGACAGAAAAGAAAAGAAAAGAAAAAAAAGAAAAAGAAAAAGAAAAGAAGTGTTACGTACATTTGAGGGCGCGTCGTTGACGTTTCTGTGCTCTCGTCGGCATGCGAATCGTCGGCTTCATGAGAAAGAGAGAGAGAGAGAGAGGGGACGAGAGGGGGGAAGAGTACATTTGCAACATCTACGAATCGTACAGAGACACAAATGAAGGATAATCTCTGTGAGAGAGAAAGAGAGAGCTCTGAGAAATGTTGTGTGAGAATCGACCGGAAAGACAAACGTACAGTTATAGAAATCGGATGAGAAGCTGATGTTCATCGAGATGATTGCGACGAATTAGGATAACGCAGCACGAACGGATAACCCAGAATAATTACCGAAAATATTCGAATCACGTGGGTACGTAGAACGACGGGTCTTGCAACAGCGATTATCTGCGCGGAGTAATCGTAACGAATGAAAAAAAGAAAAAAAGAATAAAGAAGAAGGCATTTAAAACGCGTACGAAGGACAGAAGAACGAAGGAAGAAATCTACGGATGAGGTCTCTATCAGCAGACAGCTGGTGCAAAGTTTCGACGGACGCGCTGGATCGCCGGTCAGCTACAATTGTTCTATCGTCGTTCTAGCCTATCGTTGATCTAGCACAGATGTGACGTGGTGGCGAAAAGTGTGAGGGAAAAGAGACGAAGTAAGTGTCGAAGAGAAGCGAATATGCGAATGTGGCAAGGCTCGAGACGCATTTGCCACGAGGCAAAGGCAAGGCGAGACGAGACGAGACAAGACAAGGCAAGGCAAGGCAAGGCAAGGCAAGACAAGGTAACGCGACGCAACGCAACGCAACGCAACGCAAGCAAGCAAGCAAGCAGGCAGGCAGGACTTACCTCTGCTGTTTTTAGAACTCCACTCCCAGAACTGCGCGGGTCGAGCCGAGCCAAAACCAAAATACCATCGATATAGCTTTTCTGCGATGGTCTTTGTGCGCGCGACCAACCAGCTCTTTCCTCAGGACGTCCAACCGGCTTGCACCGGAGTCGAATCGACTAACCTTACCCTGAGACACGAGTCTACGGATCACGAACATGGACGACGACCACGACCAAGACGACAACGACGACCAAGACGACCAAGGCATTTTCGACGGTGCATAGAATAGTCGCGGCATTTGAACAATCTTTGCTCTTTATCTCGAATGTCGAGATTGGTTTTTTTTTTTTTTGTTGAGAGGACAGAGAGGTTCGTTTCGATAGAAAAAAAAAAAAAAAAACTGATGATGTAACAAGCACGAGTGATGTTCTGTGAAGATGTTTCGTCAATTTTGTAATTAAAAAGTAGAAGCTGAAGAAGAGACTGGGGAAGGAGTTGGTAGCTTTTGTTACTGGCATCTCGGAGGTGATTTTGTTGACGAAGAAAAGGAAAGATTTTTGTTTAAGAGATTATTTCAGTTGGTAGATCAGAGACGACGAGCATCTTTTCGTTTTTTTCCTTTCTTTTTTTTTTGCGAGATCTCTGTAGAGATTATTGGCAAAATTGGTAGATTAAAATTGACATCCAAATTTGTGCGTCCAGTCAAAAAGAATGCAACGATCCGGGGGGGATTATAAATAAATGTCTGCTCTGATCGAGATGTCGAAGACGCTTTTGCATTTTTGAAGGTGGCCTCGTTAAAAAGACAAACAAGACGAACTTTCTACGATTCTTGCAAAAACGGTTAATCTATGTAGCATGAGACACTGAATTTTAACACCTAAAGGATAGGAGAAACAGGCAAGTTGATGACTTAGAAAACTTACTAAAGTAATTTTCTAATTTTCGTGTGACAAAGAAAGTGTCTAATCACTTACGTTTCTATCGCATGTAGGAGCCAAGATATAGGGTCGGTGTTGGATTCACGACGACGGTCCTAGAACATAGATCAAGAAGGTATTTCAGAATTTTTAAAAAATTCATAAAAGACAAGATACATGTATATAATCTTATAAACGTTTATATATAATCTGTCTTGTTTGCATATATATCTTGATTATAATCTTGTATATAATACACATATAATATTATGACTTATATTATTTTTTATTATTATTATTATTATTACTTTATTTAATCCTTGCCTACTAGGCTTAGAATGACATCCAGTTTACATCTTTGTCTTTTCGCTATGTGATGAGCTACAATTACACCTGTTTTCTTACCCTAATCTATTAATCGCAGTAGGAACTGGTATTCTGGTAATCCTATTTAATTTACTAATATGACTTATATATAATGTATATAATTTTATAAATAAACGGTTATTTTATATATATATATATATATATAATCTTATAAATTTATATATAAACGTTTGTAATACACATATTATTATATTATAATATTATACTATGACTATAATATTAATACACATATTGTTGTATTATAATATTATAATATGACTATAATATTAACACATATATTATTATATTATAATGTTATAATATTAATATGACTATGATCTTGTATATAATCTGTTTTATTTCCACGTATCTTGATTACAATCTTATAATCCTATAAATATATAATTTAATATAAATAATATTTAATATAATTTAATTTAATTTAATATAAATAATATTTAATATTTAATATAAATTATAATTATATATAAACGTTTATGATACACACATAATATTATAATATGACTTATATATAATGTATATAATCTTATAATTTTATATATATAAACGTTTATTATATATATATAAAATCTTATAAACTTATATATAATCTGTCTTGTTTGCACATAATCTTATAACTTTATATATAAACGTTTATAATACATATACATATAAACATTTGCTTTGTCATTTATAACACAAAAAAAAAAAAAAATCCCAAAGTAATGACAGTATCGAATTACAGTTTCAACCATGCGAGAAGCTCCCTCCCTCGGAAATATTCCCCATACATGTAAGTATAAATTATTCCATAGCACGAATCATGCGTCACTTTACATTACGTATCGCCCTATAGTACACATCGTCCATTTCTCCCATCTGCATCACCTAACATTATCGCTGATTTACACTATAACGCAGACTGCGTCACCGCAAATTCTCGTTTCGCGGGAAAATGCTAATAAACTGCACATCGTTCGTATTCGCAATCTCTCGGGTGAAGTGAATCCGACCGCTGTCGAAGGAAGTCGAAACGACAATAGCGCAAAAACAAAAGGATCATTAAACTTTCTCTCTCCATCGATGGAAACTTTGGAATTATGCACGCCGTGTGCATGATTGAAAGTCGCTGTGTGATTCGCGACGCGAGGAGATGAAGAAGAAGAAGAAGAAGAAAAAAAAGGTCAGGTTGGTTTAATGATTGAAACAGAAAAATGACGAACCAGGATTGGAACGTATCCTGGTGACTGAGGTTATTTTATTCAAAGGGGCTGGCTCCGATATAAATCGGGCAGAGATAGAGAAAAAAAGAGAGAGAGAGAGGGAGAGAGAGAGAGAGGAGACATGGTGAACGAACGACGTGACATAATGCAATTGCCCCCGGTCCCTGTGTCTCTTCCTCCAACGAGAAACCGATTTTCTCGCTCGGTGTCTCTCGCGAAGCGCAGGTTTCCTCGCCGAAAACATCGCCGATCGAAATCAAACCGGCAAACCAGCAGCAGCAGCAGCAGCAGCAGCAGCAGCAGCAGCGGCGGCGGCAGCTCGTCGTAACGTCCAAGTTTCCATAATTACTCGAGGGCAATTGGATCAGAGCGAGGCAGTACCAGTCACGCTGGAAGATTCGAATGAATTCTTTATGCCATCACCTCCGTTCACCGTATTCACCTTTAATCGGGTTAACAGAGCATCGAAGCTCCTCCAAAATAGCGATCGTTATTAATTTAAGTCTCACTCTTAATACGGTTCTCCACGCTGCCTGCCTGCCGCCACCGCGGCTCTCCGGAAAATCGTTACCGCTCTCTCAGTTATCCTCTCTCTCTCTCTCTCTCTCTCTCTCTCTCTCTCTCTCTCTCTCTCTCTCTCTCTCTCTCTCTCTCTCGCTTGCTCGCTCGCTTCGATCGAGGAATGAATCGTTGTTTAAAAAAAAAAAAAAAAAAGGAGAGACTCGGAAAGTTGGAAAGTTCACGCTGTTGTGTCGATTGATTTTTCTCTCTTTCAACGGATCAACTTTGGACACACTGGTACATCCGTAATACGTACGTACGTATTATGTACGAGTGTTGTTTGGAACTTAAAAGATGGACTTTCTGGATTTATAGCATTCGTCGACTGGATTTTCAAAGGATCTCGATATTTGTGTAGAAAATATAAGGTGGCCATTGGAAAAAATGAAGAGCCCGTATCTGTGAGCAGGAAAATTATCACACGCAATACTGAAAAAAAGAAAGATCTATTAATTATATTTCCAAATAAGATAATGAAAAATTTAAAAAACGTGTGTCTGTGAAAGCTATTTCTGTTTTAAAATATTCAGCCTCCCAGTGACCACCGTGTACAAATACATTTTTAAAAATTTTTTTATTATTTTATTTGGAAATGTTAATTAATGGGTTTTTTTCAGTATTATGTATTTTTAATCTCCAAGGGAACCTACAAAAAAAGAAAATAAAAAAGAGTAAAAATGAACAAGCTATTTTTTTCAAATTCTTTTCAGCCATCCTATATATTATATATTAAATAATATATATCAATGATAATAATAATATATAAATTTTTGGTTTGAGAAAGTAAAACTACTTACTTCTTCCTCTTTGTAATTAATAAATTTCGAAGTTTGCACGACAAATCACGATCGTCAATCGCCATCGATCAAAAAAATCGTTCGACAAAAACTCGAACGAATCCCCTCAAATTCTCTAACATGTTTTCTGTAGAAATTTCTATAATTGTTTTAACGTAACTCGGGAACGAAAAAAAGTTAGTTTCTACCTTCGTTCGTTGTAACTAATAAAATTTCGAAGCTTGCGCCACAAATTACCCAATTTACACGTCACCGAAGGTAGAATACTTCCTCTTCGCGGCCTGTTATACAGTGGATCACGCAAAGACGTACGTACGTCAGAGAGGTGTTAGCTCAAAAAGCGAGCCAAATCTCGGAGACCGACTGATTCACTGATGAGATCATGCGACTAAAACAAACACGGTCTTGCAAAGTTACAACCCGAAGGTTTCTCCTTCTTGTTTGAAAAAATTCTGCGATCGATCTAACAATAGGCACGCACATGTATCGTTGTATAGTGCTGGCATGATCTTCGTTATGAGAATCGTTAGACTCGAGTCGAGTCTAATCGCATCGTCGACACATTGAAATTGTTAGAAACGGATAAAATTACGTGTGTAATAAAACAATATAGTATAGTATAGTATAATATAGTATAGTATAATATAATATAGTGTAGTATAACATAATATAACATTAGTGTAGTTATAATATAATATAATATAATATAGTATAGTATAGTATAGTATAACATAACATAATAGAATATTAGTGTAGTTATAATATAATATAATATAATATAGTATAGTATAGTATAGTATAGTATAGTATAGTATAGTATAGTATAGTATAACATAATATAATATAAAAGTGTAGTTATAATATAAGTATATATAGTATAATTATAATATAATATAATATAATATNAGTATAGTATAGTATAGTATAGTATAGTATAGTATAGTATAGTATAGTATAGTATAGTATAGTATAGTATAGTATAGTATAACATAATATAATATAAAAATGTAGTTATAATATAAGTATATATAGTATAATTATAATATAATATAATATAGTATAATATAAGTATATATAGTATAGTTATAATATAATATAATATAATTGAGTGTAGTATAACCGAGTAAGAAATGATTCTATATGAAAAAAAAGAATGAAGTTTTTTCATTGAAACCCTCGTTTCCGAGAGAATCGAATTTGAAAATTTATCGATAATCGACACGAGAATACGCCACGCGCAGAAGCAAGTGAAAAGTAGTATAATGAAATTTTTTTCATTTTCAAGAAAATATGTTTGCACAAATATGTTGGCACTTAATGAACATCGAAGCTCGATTTCCTGGAAAAAGACCAAGGCTTCAATCAGTAAATTCTGCTCTTTCTTTTCGACTCCGAAACCAGAATCAGTTACAAGACACCCTGTACATACGATTAAACGATATAAAACATAGTACATTGGGTTGGCCAAAAAATAATTGAGTTTCTTTCGCAATTAAACGGATGGACACACACACACACACACACACACACACACACACACACACACACACACACACACACACACACACACGTGTGTGTCTTGAAATGCAACCAACTTCATTCTAAACCGCACACTCATTTGGTAATCTGATACCTGATTGTTCAAGCATGTTCGAGAAAAAGAGATTGCACGACCTCTTGATTTGCTGTCGGTTTCAAAATGGAAAATTAAAAAACGGAACATTTTGCTGTATTACTTGTAAAAAAAAAAAGAGCAAAAAAAAAATTAAGTTGGCTTCTTGGCCAACCTAATATTTACCAATATACAGATTAGACGAATTGATGTTAATCTCTAGTTCAAGTTTCGCAACGAATATAATAGAAAATGAGGGAAACTGGACGAGCAAGACTGGTCGACAACAGAGGATTAGAACGACTGGGCAAAAGTCTGGAGAGAGAGAGAGAGAGAGAGAGAGAGAGAGAGAGAGAGAAAGTTTCCGGCGTGAAACAAAGGCGATAATAATTTTCGCGTCGGGCAAGCGAGTAGGAAAGAGGAAGGCATAAAACGACATTGCTCCGGATCGGCACGTGCCACTCGATAAATCTGTCGGCAGCTGACGGCACAGCCGGCTGGCTGCAGCCTCCCGCGCGCCTGCACTTGCGCTTTCTCCCCTTCTTCTTTCTTCCCTGTGCGCCTGTATCTGTCTATGTGTGTGTGTGTGTGTGTATCTTAATGTTTCTTCCGTTCCCTCCTCCATCTCCGCAAACTCCCACAAACTTCGACAAACCTCGACAAACCTCCGTGTACCATCCCTTCGTTCTTGCATCAACTGCCTCGTCCTTCTTCACCCTTCATCCTTCTTCGTCGCCGCCCCACCAACCCCCCTCCACAATCCCACGTGGTTACACGTAAGTGCCATCTTCCTGACCGAATGCTAGCTAGCTAACCTCCTCCTGCCTCCCGAAACATTATACACGCTACGAGAACCTAGATTAGAGTCAAGTCAAGTTCGATGAATTAAATCGGATGTTGGATGAATTATTGATTAATTAAAAATCAAATTCTCTGCTGACTGTGAGATTAAATGGTCGTTCATTTGACACTAGAACTACCGAGTAAGGTGTAAAACCAAGGGTGGAAACCGAGAGAGAGTAAAGTACCAGAGGTGGAAAGAAGTTTGTAATACAAGAGAAATATAGATTTCAATTTTTATATATATATATATTTTTTTTTACGAAAAATCATTTAGGTTGTTTAGAAACGCATCCACAGTCGTGAGTCTATGAAATTTCTACAAAAAAATTAGCAATTGGTCATTTTGACCACTAGTTAGTAACACTAGCTAGTAACGCTAGTTACTATCGACGATTAAAGCATAAAATTTCAAAGCGTCAGAGACATTGAAGTCAAAAAAATAGAAAAACTTTTTAATACAACGGAGTATACAAACTTTCATTTTACAAAACATTATTTAAATCTTTAAAAACACGCAGTTTCGTGTCTATAAAATGTCTGACGAAAATTATAAATTAGTTATTTTGACCACTTTGGTAGTTCCTAGAGGGCCGTAATTCCCAACGTGAGGGTAATTCGAGAATGAGTTATTAACAGTGAATTTCTTTTTTTTTTTTTTTGTTTGCATTTCTTTAAATAAAAATTTAACTTTTTTTTCTTTCGCGGGTGTCACGCTCTTTGAAAGCTTGTTTAGACCTTGAAATTAATAGCTTCTTAAGCTTCTTCCACGTCAAAAATTCATTTCTTGAATAATAAGAATTACGTGTCACAGGAGAATGTGTCACCAAAATTTTACAGATGCTTAAACGGGGCATGGCCAAAGGAAAGGTTGGGAACCACTGATCAAGACCAACGTAACATTACGTAGATATTGTAATCTTCAAATAGAACAGAAACTGCGATAAAGAACACTAATGCACGCAATTTTAAATTGTAAGCAATTTACTTTATGCAAAAACCCAGGAAAAAGAAAACGAACGAATTTATCAAAAAAAAAAAAAAAGTTGGAAACCACTGTTCTAGTGTCAACATCTATTCACGAAAATCAAACTGATGCATATATAAAACGTCGTTTTATAATTGGAAAAAGAAAAAAAAAAAAATTTCAAAGTTTCGTACCCTGCTGTATGGTAAAGAAGAAAATTCATACCCGCGTAGAGGTTAGATCGACGTGCAAGAAGTGAAACGGTATCGAATTTCAAGATAGGCCAACGGAGTTACATAAGAGAAGATTCACGAGCAAAAACCTGCCGGCGAATTTTCGTTTTCCTTTCCTGCTTTTTCGGAAACACGTTTTTACGTTCGATTTCACGACAAATGGACCCGTCGCCTAGACTTTAAAACGATCCAGGTTGTAAACTTTCGAACTCTAAACGATCCAGGAGGGTCCCAAGCATCCCCAAGAGAATCGTGCGCGCACGTGTACAATCTGAAGGCTGCAGCTTGACGCGAGAAAGAGAGAGAAAGAGAGAGAGAGACGGCGATACTTCACGAGAGAACTTTTTCTACCTTCATGAACATGTACATTAATTCGGTTTGACATTCATAACTAAACGTTGCAATACAAGTAGTTGAATTTCAATCAAATGGCAAACTTTAATTTCTTGTACTGTTATTTTCTAATTATTAAGTCGTTTTATTAATTTTTCTTTTACATTTTTATATATTTCACACGTATATTTTTATATACAGGTTTTGAATCCTTAACCTAAATCTAAGTGGAACCTAACCTAAGTGGAAAACTTGTAATTTCTCGTACGATTATTTTTTAATTATCAAGACGAATTTCTTTCGTTTCGTTCATTTTCTTTTATATTTTTATATATTTTATACACACTTTATACATACATTTTTAGCTACATTTAGCAAATTTTTCTAGATTTCAATCAACCAGATGAAAGCAGAATGTTCAAGGTTTATATCACGTACATGAGGACATAGAAAAATAATGCACACAAAATACGTGGCTCACAGTTCAATGACGTAGAATATTTCAAATCTAGAATACGGAAACTCTAACTCTGAACCAAAGTGGTTCAAAGTTTTTTATTAATCAGCGGCAAAAATTAACCTCAAATCCAAGGTATAAACTATGTAGTTCAAAACTGATCAATTAAAAGAGACGATGATCATTCAACTTCAACGAAAATTAGACAAACTTTATCAGAAAATCAATTGTTATAAATATATAATATCTTCAGAAGTTCGAAGGTGAAATAGAGGTGAAAATGAATGTTGAAAGCGTTAACACTTTTCCGGCGGGATATTCGAAATGACAGCTGCCCTATTTATTGGAACTGTCATTATAAAAGTTTCACAAATAATCGTGTAATTCTACTGTTTCAACGATATCGTTATAACAATCTAACCCGTCGATATGACTGTGATTTCGATTTAAGCTCGAGATATGGATGTTTCTGTCAAAACGAATTACTATTAATTTTTGTTTGAACAGAAATATAACTGCATAAATCTATTTGCTTCAATTATCATTTGAATCATCTGTAGTATACGGTTATTGTACTGTCGATGGATACTTTCATTTCTCCCTTTTACATTAATTGTTATAATTAATGAGTAGACAATTATTATAGAATAATAATTATATATTTATGATTATAGAACAATTATCTGCAGAATATGATTGGTCTAGTGTCGACACTTTCATTTCTCCATTTACATTAATTTTTCTAATTATTATAAGAATAATAATTATCTATCTATGATTATAAAATAATTATCTGTTGAACATGATTGGTCTAGTGTTGATAGAAACTTTTCATTTCACCGTTTACATTAATTTCTATAATTAATTACAATTCTAGAACAATAATTATATATTTATGATTATAGATAATAATTATCTGCAGAATATGATTGGTCTAGTGTCGATACTTTCATTTCTCCATTTATATTAATTTTTATAATTATTAAATACATAATTATTATAGGAATAATAATTATCTATTTATGATTATAAAATAATTATCTGTTGAACATGATTGGTCTAGTGTCGATAGAAACTTTTCATTTCACCATTTACATTAATTTTTATAATTAATTACAATTCTAGAACAATAATTATATTATATTAATTATATTATATTATCTAGAACAATAATATATTTATGATTATAGAATAATTATCCGTAGAAATAATTCACCTGTAGAATAACAGTCGATAGGTAATCTCATTTGCATTAATCTTTCTTTCTTCGTTGGTCAATCAGAGTCGAGTACACGGACGCGAGGCCCGCCGTCAGAAAAGTGTTGGAAAACGATCCTTGAAAAAAATGCCCTGTGAGACCCCGTGAGCGCGTCGGCAACTGCGAGTTAGCAACAGATGGAGGAAGAAAAAGAAAAAGAGAGAGAGAGAGAGAGAGAGAGAGCCAGCCGTCCGCGGGTGTGCCGCGTGTCGCGTATTACGTATCGCTCATAAAACGGCCACCACACACGGCATACGCTTCATCGATCAGCAAATTACTTGCGTCATCGGCGAGTCTCGACGTACACCTATATACGTGTTCTTTTTTCCTCATACGTATTTTCTTTTCTCCCCGCGATCCCTTCTTCTTCGACTCGGTCGCGGGACTAACGTGGAAGCACACGCAAATTGTTTTAGAAAACGATCAGAAAACGAGCGAAATGAAAAAAAAGAGAGAAAGAGAAAGAGAGAGAGAGAGAGTTTCGATCGAGCACACCGAGAAATAATAACCGATAATAACCGATAATAACGACGACAGTTCGTTGCAGCACGGAGGGAGGGAGGAAGGAAGGGGAGAGAGGAGATCGAGAGGAAAGATGGTCGGGCTAGAATCGTTCGCGCGGGTTAGAACAAACCGACGAGCCCAACCGAGGAGAGATGTTGGCGCGAGTGCAACGCGCCATATTCTTTGTCCTATGACACGACGATGTTAAAGCTCCGGTGGCTAAAATTAAACGCAGCCGCCAGGGCTGAGTCTAAGACCGAGGCTGTGAGCAGGAGCAGCCGCCAGAAACCAGAGCACGTGCTTCGACTAAGTGACGTGTGCCTTCCTTGCCCCCTCTCCCCCGCCGTATTCTCCCCTTTACTCCCTTTGCTCTGTCTCCCTCTCTGCGCCCTCTCCAATTCTCTCTTCGTCTCCCTCTATCCACCTATCTGTCCACTTTTACCTCTTTTTTTCCATCTACCGAACTCTATGTCTCTCTCCAGCCACCCGTCTCCGTGTATTTATTTATCTAATCATCCAGTTACCTCCTTCTTTCTTGTTCTACCTCGGTCTCCTACCCTACGTCAGTAACTTCGTAGTTACACGTTTGGATGTAGAGACGCGGCGCTCTATCCCACGCTGAAGATTCACGGGAATAAGTGGATACTGACACACAGGCACACACATGTAGATACAGGTTCGGGGGCGTTGGAAGGAAGTACGTTTAGTCGATGTGAATGGAAAGAGGAGGTTACCTGAACGATATACCAAGGAGGAAGCTTTTCTGGAGCTGTTACTTATACAAGATACCCGCGTCAAAACAAAAATTACCCTTACTACTACGACAACCGGATGAGATACCTTGAAGTTGAAACAGTATATGTCTATTATTTCCACTGATATTACTTGGATTTCTGCAGTGTATGTTTCACTATAGTAATTTTCACTTTTAAATAATGAAACAACGAGGTAATTATTTTAAATTGGAATCGCTTTTGTACAAAAAGTACCAACAAGGCTCGTCCACATTGAACCAATCACATTTTTCCAGAGAAAAATAAAATAAATACTCTTTTAGAGTTGTTGGCGTATGTAAATATTTTTTAGCAAGTTTTATCAATCCTTCGCCAAGATTCTCCGCCATAAATTGTAATTTGTTTTGTCATCTGTCATAAAAGCATCGAGTGAAACTGTATCAAGTGTCGAGTAGTAATAATTCTAACCTCAAATATCATATAAGATACCTAGATGATACCTGGTATAGTAGGTGAAACTATTATACATATCTATTACTTCTACTGATGTCGAACATGCCTACAGCATAATTTTTGTTCCAGTGATAAATAACAAAACAATGATATTAATTATTTTACAGTTGGACGTATTTGCACAAAAGTAGCAGTTTTTATAATATTTCCAGTTGTTGGAGATTCTTCTACAGAGCCAGCAGATGGCGCACACATAATTTTTTAGCAAGTTTTGTCAATCCTGAATATTCCCCTCTGATTCTTTTAGCCATTCTAGTAAACGTAAATTCTACTTGTTACAAAAATACAAACTGCTCGAAATCGAACTACGGACAAAACCATAGTACGTAATAACTGTCTAACCTCAATTATCACGTGAGACCAACCGAATAACTGGGCTACTCGCATATCTCATTAATAATATACCCGGGTAAAGGTACTAAGTTCTAAATTTTTTCACAGCACGTGTAGGAGTTAGGGTGACACAATCGAGTTCAGGGACAGAGATTCTTAGATGGTTGGAGCCTGAGCCGAGGAGCTTCGAATCCGCAGGGCCAGAAGCTCGGAAATTTCCGACTATGATGGCAACTCTCGAAACCAGCGTCAGTAATGACGAAATTGATAACAATGACGTCGATACGGATTACTATCGGTAGTCGGTAGTAATCCGTAGTTACCACGGAGAGATCAACGTCGAATTAAATTTGGAGCAAATGGCGTAACTGCTAGTTAGAATTGTACGTGTAATTCGAACAACGATTGCACGTACATTGTAATTGGAACAACACGTATAATAATTACATTTCGAATAATAATTACACGTGTGATTCCAACGTATCGAATAACAATTATATTTACGCATACAAGTCCAAGTGAATCGAATAATGATAACAGTAACAACGATCGGCAAATCGAGTACCGTAGAAAGTAACAATTATACCATCGGCGTATAATCGCAGACTCATTTCCTAATTCGAAGTTGGCCTAATTGAAATTAACCGATCGGACGATCGATCGAGATGCCGCGTGCGGGCGAGGCGAACGGTTGCGGGAGCTGATACAAACATCCTGCGCCTCACACGTGGCCCAGACCGACTGTAAGACACGTGTTTCTCCCTCCTGCAGAGACATTTCCCCATAGGATGATCAGCCCTTCGATAATCCACGGACCAACGTTCTACTAGAAATCTGGTGGATACATATACATATACCGGGTGAGTCATCGACGACTGGAACACGTTTTGGAATAGATTGATCGTGTCAAAAAATGTCTCGGGCAAAAACATTGAACACGGGGGCATTGCGTAGAACTGACGCGCAGAGGGCGTTTGTCCAAGGTCAAGTTTGTTTCTCTCGGCGAAAAATCGTATGTTTCTCCTTTTTCATACATTCAGCTCGTTGCTCTCTGTGAATCGTTTTTTTTTTTTTTTTTTTTTTTTTTTTTTGCAACGAAACAGAATTTACACGGTGGATTTTAGACGTGTCGAGTGACAGAGGATGGTTTTATATTTGTGCATGCAGATCAGATTTTTGATTTAATAGTATATTTCTTTTTCCATCTAGTCGGAAGTAAATTTTTATATTACTTCCGTTCTGTTGTTGAATGTATTTTTCTTTCTTAGTAGGTTTTAATATTAGAATATTCTATGTTCGAATTATTCTAATGTGTAGTTGATTGAAGAGAAAATGTATTAGAAATATTATTATACGTGTACATTCTGAAATCATTTTTTAATCGTAATTGATACTCCAGTCCAAACATCTGATCTCCTCCGTTCACTTCATATCATTTGACAGCTGTACCTTATCCATTCACTTCATTCAATCCATTTCGTACATTATATCTCTGGTGGACAGGCAAGGGAGTATAAACTCGGAATTTTTAGTGCAATGTAGATTCAGGTGTTAGATTATCCACTTGAAAAGGGACTTGCAAAAATTATGAATTATTTTTATTTTCTTTTTTTTTGAAACCGACGGTTCGTATTGTTTCAACCAAAATTTAACTTGTATTTTTTTGTCTGGTCATCAGAAATTCATTTCACACGCGTGATCCTCACGAAAATTCTTCAATTTCCCGTCTCTTCCCGCTACGAACACACATGCGTTTATCAGAGATATCGGAGGTTATTCCCAACGTAAACGAACGATAGACTTCTTGGCGATGAGTAAAAGTTGTCTCGACTTTGTTTCGAATTTCCATGATCACGTAGCGCCCCGGGAAGACCTATCGGAACAAAGATGAACAAAAATGAACAAGAATAGTGGCAAGCGGAGAGTATCCTGACGAAGAGACGAGAGATGAAGGGCCAAGGGTTTTCTCTTAACCTTTCTCTCCCGGTTTCCTCCTTCTCTCTCGCCAAAGTTCGGAACCCTTGTCTTTCTCTCTCATCTCGTGGTCGGTGCCCGCGTGTGTCGTTCGTGGAACTTCAGGTCGAGCACAATGCTTCTCGATTATGAGAGGAAGGGATCCCTCAGGGTTGGTGGTTTACGACTTGAGGTCGCACCGTAGACTCAGCGGGAGGAGAACCGAGTCTACAAATGGATAGACGAAATTGGGAAGAGGAGAAGGGGGTGGAGAGGAAAGAAAGGCATGGAATCAGAAAGAAGGGAAAGAAGCTATCTTTGAAGTTTTCTGTTCGTCTCCTCGACCCTTCGACTGATATTCCAAAAATCCTGCAGCTTAATTGCATCCTCCGAAAGCGGAGAGTCGACCTGATGTTTACTTCGTTTTCTTTTTTTATTGCCGTTTTATTCTTCTTCTTTTTCTTGCCTTTCTTCATTGGTTGAAAAAGGGAATCTGCGACAGGCAGAATTCTCCCGGCAGAAGTTGCCGGATAAAGTTTCTTCGGGTTAAATCGATCCTTCGACCGTGAGCTGGAGAATAATAATCACGCGCGTCGTGTCGTATCGATCGATTAGTCTATCTGTATTGCGTAAAATATGTGCACACTTTTTCTCTCTCTGTGAACTGGGCATTTTAGTTTTTATTATAAAGAACATAATTTATCAATGATATATAAGAACACATAGTACTATATACATCAATATGATATAATATATGTCATAATGTAATATAATTATTTCTTCTTTTCATCTACGTATTCACTGTGTATTTTACAATTTCCTTGAAATACAAAATCCTTGAAATTTATTTTCTACAAATTGTATAAATCTGCCCGAAACACACCCATAATAGAAACAACCTGCACGTTTACCAGCGTGGGCGTCACAAAATTATTATTTAATTCTGCGGTATTAGACACATTGAATAAACGTTTATTTATTTAAGAGATTTGAATAATTGATTTGTTCAATTAATTATAATTAATAATTAATGCTCAAAATACGTTACGTACGTAATATGTATATTTGTAAAAGAATTCATCAATAAATATTGTAGCGTGCCGATCTAGTTCTACGTATTTTCTTTTCTTCGATGTACGAGCCGATCGGTGGCTCGCTGCCTTCAACGTTAATGAAGTGCAGCTAGTTCAAAGTAAAGTTTGATTTGTGATATTGATTAAAGAGTGTGAATTGAATCCTACGACTAACACTTTTTTGAATATTCACTCACAGAAATATATTGGGCACTGAACGTAAGATTAGAAAAGACAAGAGTATTTTTTTTTTTTGTTCTCTAAATTGTTCTTACCCTGGAATGCACTGGGTTTGGGGACGCGAACCGGCAGACATGCGGGAGATTTTCTTGCTGATTTGAAAGTGAGAATAAGACTGTTCTATTTTGTTTCGGAGTCGGCTCTTACATATCCGAGCCCTCTTTGTTTCCAAACATACATTTGGTGGGTTTTTCCAAACATTTTCAGGGTCAGTTCAAGAAGTAAATTTGACAATTGCTTCTTAGAACTAATGGTTCTATCTTCCGTGTCCTGCCGGTTTATTAGTGTTCTGTTTGGGGGACCGATGCGATAAAGAAACTTATCGAGCCTTGGAATGAAGAGTCAAATATGTCTACAATACGGAAATGTTAGTCTGAAATATGAATTACGGTCGCGGGAAGTTCCTGCCATAGAAAAAGTTACAAGACAGGAGTTTATTGTCCTTGGCTCGATGAATTTATTTGTCGCATCACATTTTGATCCTCATTGTGTTCGGTAAGACCGAACAAATATCATTTGACGATGAATAAATATATGTACCGTATATGTGTTATAGATTTTATACAAATAGTAAGTGTTCACATACTTTTGAGCGTATGTATATATTACGAGAAGACCTATCGTTCCCTATCGTTCTCCTCCTCCTACTGGAGGAGGAACGTTCCAGGCGAATGTAACGAGAGTCGAAAGTAAAATTATTCCGTCAAGTAGCCCGGTCTGCTCCTTCTTCCGCTCTGTGAACGCCAGCGGTTTTGCTCCACCGAGGTTTAGTTACGAGTTCGACAAGACGGTTACCTCAACTTGATTTTATCCGAAACCTCGAGGAAACCGCGAACGATCGTCTGACGCGCGTATGCAAATATCGACGTTTACGTACGCGATTGCTGTTGAGACTACGTAATCGACAAGTAATTATCCCCCAGCAGTTTTATCGAGTCTTGTTACGACAAACACATGTGATCACCGGTTGAAACTATAGCATCGAACGTTATCAGTTGATAAAACCGGATAATTTAACGCTTCGCGTCTCGTTTTATCACGTGTATCGTTTTTCCACGGTACTTTTCCAATACTTTCTGCCTTGATAGTTTCTGCGCATGCTCGATTTGTACTCTCGGTTAGACGAGACATTTCTCATTTAGTTTACGCGTATCTCGCGTGTTCGATCGCTGGAGCCGCGGAGAAGAAAATTGACACGTGCGCGTTTCAGACGAAGAAATTCGTTACGTGAGGAGATTTTATTAACTGGACATGTGTCTTCAGCACTTTTTTTTTAAGTTATATCTTTTAGATTAATCTAGATGTTGATGCGAACAGTATATTTAGAGAGAGTATGTTTAGAAACACTTTTAAACAATTTAACTCTTGATAACTTTTGATATTGAAATTTACGTAATGATATGTTCACAATATTTGTTTAAAAGTTAAAACGTGTTTTACACTGCAATTAAACGAGCAGCTCCACTTTCGAATAAT